ACATAAGGTGATATTTTTCTTGACTAAATCTGTGCATTTTTTCTTATTTCTAAATTAAATAGCTATATTCTGGAGGAAGTCATGCGATGGTATCACATCTTACAATGAATGGTGAAGTTAAAACACAGGTTCCGTGTACACCAAATAGTGTCTTTTCATTAGCTATAAACATATCCTCTGAGACAAACAAGGTAAATATGTTTGAAGGTTCGCGTGGCAAAATAACAATAATAACTAGAGCAGTCACTCCATAAAGTGCATACCTCCGCCAGAATACAGCACCAACATTACCCAGGCTGTGTATAATGGGCGAAACTGCAGCATACCCTCAATGAAATAATGGAATCGCCAGTCGTGTTCAATCACTTTTTCTTTTGAGTGCTGCAAAATTCTTTCAAGAAAATAATGGAATCACCCATCATATTTAAGTACATTGTTTTCTTTGGTGCTGCCCGATTATGTGAACATTTTTAAATCAAATTTCTGTGACCCTGACTTTGTCCTTTGATCTTAAAATTTTGATGGTGTTTTTCTTTGATTATTATGTACCATTCCACTAAATTTGATGGTTGTTTAAATAAAATGCCTGTGATAAATTATTTCGATTTTTTTCTACTGTTATCATCGATCATGTCCGGAATGTTCCATTTTATAGTATGGAGAATATTTACTACCTTGCTATTTTGAAATGTTGAAATGTAAAACAATAAAACAAAGGCAAATTTTTGACTTGTGCATTGTCGACTTGGGTGGGGTTGACTTGGCAAAAAATGAAGTTTGTACGTGCCCACCCCACCTAAAAAAGGGCTCAAACAAACTCTTAAAAAGAAGAAGGAACTCATTTTAGACATGATGCAACATTTAATTTAATAATTATTACACGGTAATGTGAGCTCCTGTTTTTTTTTTTAATGATCTCATCAATTCTTGGAGAGATTGGCGACAGTGCAATTCTGAGAATAGATTCTAGGTTTTGGGTTGACAATGAATTTGTAGCTTGCGTCTTCGTGGCTACATCAGAATCTACTCGACGAGGTTACCTTAACGTTCTCGCATGTGCAGATGACTTTTAGTGTCGTCATTACGTTCTGCGTCCCACCGTCGTGCAATCGAAAGCTCGCTACTGTCTGTTTTTCTTCCAGGTGCTAAGTGTTGCAGGTAGCAGTTCTCAAGTCGACATCTTCACAAACTTCGGCTACCGAGCCTTTTCATTTCAAGCCGTCCCATGACTGAATGTAAACAACTAAAGAATCATGGTACAAATATTTGATATTATACTCCAGGTAGATACATTTCATAGACTAAATTTGACCGCTCAGTTTGTATTTCACTGATGTAAACATCAGTCAACAAGCCTTAAAAAAATACATGTTATAATTTTATTCAAAATTAAAGAAAAAACCCTTCATCTAAATTACTACAAAACATGTGCTTAGGCCTGGAGAAAAAAACTTGTTGCACAGCTGGTTGTACTATGACAATGAAGGTGTGTTTGACAAAATAATCTGGAACGATTAATAAGATTCAAATACAGGAGGAAAAAGAGGCACAACCACTGCTGAGATTGATTTGGTGATTATGTTTAGTTTCTGGTACATTCTGTCTAGCAATGCTACAATACTCACATGGATGGAATTGGTAGCGACACTAATGAATGGTACAGTATGGTGTGTTTGAAACAAAAAATTAATATACTTTATTACTGTCGCATTTTTAATAAAATCATTTTGCTATTGTGGTACAAATAATCTCAGTGCACTGATTTTGTTTGTTTGTTTGTTTTTTTTTGTATAATTGTTTTGTACTGAATAAATAAAAAAAAAGTTAGAGTAGGTTTGGAAGATAAAGTATGATTAATAATAAGATGGTCAGATTAAAATACACATTCCATTTGAGCCTTTCTTTTTAGGCATTGGCTACTGTTACATCCTCTTAAAATGATTCCTAATTCTGATTGGATGGTATTGTATGTAAGTACTGCCCCTTTACTTTAAAGGCTACCTCCAAACATTGTTTTTGAGTTTCACAGACAAATATCTGACAAGTTATGCCTGACTTTAAATACCTATTATTGCAGATATTAGTCCTTGGAGGCTACTACCAAAAACATGTCATTTAATATACTATATAACACTTTAATACACAGGTTACACTGTCGCAATGTGTTTCGCATTGTTAATATTTTAATTTGTATACATGTAATAGTAATATGTATATACAGTAGTATTTTGAATATTTTAGCATGCTTGATAAAGGTACACAGTAGTGTTGAGGCACTAAACTTTAAATATTTATATAAGCTTTCAATTATATTAACATGTTTAATTTTCCTGCTTAATTTTTTTTTATCTTTCATTCAACAAAATATAATTATGTACAAAAAAAAAACAATTTATGGCAGTAAAAACTGATCTTTTTAAAATCCTCAACAATTTCAAATTCACAGACATTACAGTTAATATACAGTAAATAATTAAATAACTACGCTCCAATCCGGCACAGTATATGCATTTTAATCAAGCTTTCTTGTAGAAATATCTAAACAATACGGAGTTAGAGTAAACGCCCTATGTTGTCACTATTGGTAACTCAGAACTTTTTTTAAAAAGTTTTTAAAATATGGACACACAGGTTGGCGTTGCAGACACAACCGTTCACGAACCTGATCCAGATCGTGCTGTGGAACTGCAGTTTAAATATCTTGATGAGGTTCCATGCGCAATACGAAACGATTCACCGACTACACAATCTAAAGTTGATAAGCGATCACAACCATTACCAGATCACGACAAGTTTCCATTTTCTTACACTGAGATGATTACTTTGTGTCGTGTCGAATCCTAATGCCATGATGAAGCTCCAAGACATTATATGTTTCATGTCGAAAGCTTTCTATTTCCTTTGTGGTGGCTGCCAAGGATGTACGTACAGATTTGAGTGTCAGTGAGTGTTTCAAAAAAGTTCCACGTTGTCCAGGTAAACCTTCAGCTGCAGACAACTTCTGGATTATGAAGGAAGATTGTAAACATTGTAAGTTTTGAAGAACCGGTAATAATTGGAATGATCTAAAAATTCGTTGTCAACAAAATATAGAGGGGATCATAACAGTTGATTCATCAGTTAGGCCTAAAGACCAGCAACTGACATCTGCCAAATGAAAGATTTGCAAGAGACATCGTTCAGACATTACCCTGCATGCCCTTCATTTAATTTGTGCAATCAGTGTCATATTTTTGGAATTGATAACTTATTTGATTCCTTTCAAATAAGCAATTTAATGTCTGATTTCAAAATTGTATCACAGATGGACTCTCGTGGTAACCTACCCATTTTACAGTTTGCTCATGGATAATAATATTGTAAAATGTTCTACATTACAAACATAACATCCATTTTTACATTGATAAAAAATTATCAAACGCATTTAACACCGAATAATGTCAGAAATATTAGACTTCTGCAATATGGTAATCACTCGAATTATTATTTTTAAATGGTCTTTTTACGTGTTTGCATCACAGTCGGCTACATTTGAGCTGAAAATTCACCTTAAGTTAATTATATTAAGATTCTTTTGACAGAACGATTGCTTTGCAATTTTAGGTTATTTATTTTCCGTATGCCAACTGAATCAAATAACATAAAAACAATGTATTAAATTCTTTACCACATACGCTTGCCGAACTCAAAATTTAACATGGATCGTCATTCTCCAGCAAGAGCAAACAACATACGCAAATACCAGAAACAGAAAACAGGATAAACAGTATCCGAGAAATGTGCAAGATAAGTTGTTACAATTTAATGAAATGGAAATTGGTTGAATTATATCGCCATAACGAATAGTTTTAATTTCAACCTAATGCAAATGAAAGCACAGGAAATGTCTAGCTGTGAGAGCAGATGGCGCTCTGTATCCATGGAAGGACTTTTAGCTGTACCTTGATCCATGCGCGCGCATTAATGCTCACACCTGCCTATTGATTGTGTATTACACTATAAGTATTATTCTTGCATTAAATAATAACATATATGTATGTAATTTTTAGACATGATTGTGTATTTCTGTATACGTCTGTAGGCTGCATCCTCATTGCTGATGAATCGAAGGTCAATGCACCTTTTTCCGAATTTATAAACTGCCATGCTCCCCTACAGCGTGCCGCACTTATTTCTGTTTTTGTTCATTGATTATGATTTCTTTTCGAGGATGAGAAATGCTAATAAATCAGTGACTCTATAAATTCATCAGGTTTAGTCGATGAAAATAAATAATGTGAAAACCGTTCTGTATTACAACCCATATTATTTAATCTGTTTCTTAAATGCTAGTTTGATAGATCTTAATTGATTTTTAAGACGCACACCTGATGCATTCAGCCTTGGGGCTATCAGTATACAATTCGCATATTATGTGAATTGATTTTGCTTTTCTATGTGCTAACATTTACTTAACATTTTAGTGGGGGAAAATAGAAGATTTAGAATTTCTGTTGCACGTCGTGCGTTCACGTAATGTGTACCGGTATATGTCTCTTCACGTCATAGCCGTACGTACTTTAGAGAAGCTTCCAGTCTTACGAAAATTATTGTATAAATAATAATAATGTTATATTTTTATAGCACATATATTGCCCCTATGCGCTTTACACAGAAATAATATAGAAATACAAATAAAATAACAATAAAATAATAAAAACTAATCATAATTACAATAATAATAATGAGGCTAAACTACTCCTATTATTTAAACTAATTAATGGTTGGCCGTTGACTCCGAGGATCTCATCCACCCTTTGTTCAGCTTGGTTTTTTCTTGCTGCTGGGTGACCATAAACACAGTTACGTCGTAAATTTACGAAAATCGACGATCATACGCAGAAAAAAGTACCAGTTTAACAAGTAATACGAGTTGAAATACGAGGTTCTTATGTCCGTATATTAGATAACATGATGCAAAATTAACTCGCCGTAAAACAGGGGACATCAGAATTGTCCAGCCTTATTACAGTATACAGAAGCAGGAAAATCGTCTGCAGCAGTACCGTAATCCACCAATTCGTATTAGTGTGCAACAAAATTGTAAATAAGAATAATGAAAATGAACGTGTGAATAAACTATCGTGTATGTAAGGTTGCGAAAATCGGTGTAATCGTTGTCAAGCCCATGTTGACTACTGTATACCGCACATGCGCTGCAACAGACGGTGCACCCAAAACCCCACCCTCCCAAGTCTAATACTGGCCATTTGGTTGCCGATCTAACTGCCATCAAAGTGATTCAATTCCATGTAAACGGTTCTAGAATCGTGACTGATCGCAATGTTGGTAAATAAGACTATGGGACTTACAATTGTAATAGGCCTACAGAATTACAATCGATGCCGTCAACACTGGAATCTTATAATGGCTATGTTTTAGTAAATGACAATTATTGCCAAAATATAGGACTACAGTATTCTATTTCAATGTTAGTGTAAAATGTAAAATTAAGAAATTACAACCGATGACGTCAGAATTAAGATTATATGAACATCACCTTAAAAAGTGAGCAATAATTGATTATTCAGCAGCTTGCAAACGACATGTGATCGTTTGCAATTCACGCAGGCGATTGGAAGTACACAAAGAGTATCCCCGTTGACAGGAAACACTAAAAGGTTCTGTATCGATCAGTGTGCCAAATTAAACCAACAATTTGCTTCTAGCATATTTAATAAATTGTTTATCATAAAATAAAACTATTGTTATTGTAATAATAATAGATTAAGAATCATTATTTACATTTTAGGCGTTTATAAGAGGAAATTTAGTTCAAAAATGCTTTGTAGTAGTACAGTAGATTGGTAAACGTTAAATATTTATATTTTCATAAAGTCGTGTAAAAGGCTTGTACATCAAATAGCTTCAGCTATATTATATACCGGTAGCTTCATCAGATACACACCATGTTCGCACTCGCTTTATTAACATTCTTTCTAATTTTCCAAAACATTAACAGGCACCATACTAAGATACGGTATTTAAGACCTATTCAGTTATAATCAGTGAACCTCGTTGGTTGTAACCAGAGTGATTGCGATAGGATGTGTGTAATGATAATAACCATTACCGGTAATAATTATAATGAGGATATTGATAAAAATAACGATATTGATAAAAATAACGATATTGATATGATTGATACTGTTAATAATAAAAATAATGAGATCATGATACTGATAATGGATTATAATATTAATAGCAAACTCATGTTAGCGATAAACAAAAGTATTCGTCAGACACATCGTGTATGGTATGCCATACACGATGCGTCTGCACGTATACGTGCACTAGAGACACTCGTCTTTAAAAATAAATAAATAAACACCATAATGATTTTGATAATAATAATAATATGGAGAAATTGTTTATTTAGTATTAGATTGCACTAAAAATTGTATTATATAAATACACACACGATTTTCTAATAGGGCAACCGCAACATTTTACAATACAAATAATTGTTTATGTGTCATATGTATTCGAATGAATGCCACTCTTCAAATAAACGCATCCTGGAATTATAAACGCCCCCTTCAGAGCCACATTTTCCTCGAATAAATGACTAAGCAAAACTAATGGAAGTAACATTATTCTCAACACATTCTATTAATGTTCTACTCCAGTAGAATTACATTTTTTTTTACCTGGTTGGGATCAGTAAGTGTTTATGATCACACAATAACACACGTTGACAGTAATATGTTGTAACTCCAAGCACATTTACAGTGCAATTAAGGGACGTTTGTTTCAGCATATACGTATCCATTTTACACCAAAACAAATAAAATAAATAAACACCTCCCTCGAATAAATGCCTCCCTCGAATATATTCCCGATAAAAAAAAAATCCGGGCGTTATTCGAATAAATAGGCCTACGGTGTTTACTACTTATTGAAAGTATCAAGGTGTTTAATAACATGATTACTTAATAAATTTATAAGAACAATTAGATGTGCCCCAAGTGGTTGCAAAGACAAGAAAGAACAATGTTTTTAAACGACTGGAGTAATTTTATTGCACAATTTTCTCTTGCTTGACATCTAAAATAAAATGTTGGTTATATAAATTAAATTAAATTGCGTTGTGGTTGAACATGTTGTAAGACCTTAAAAGTTCCCGTCATGCTATTAAATTTGGTAAGAAATTATCAACTTCTTCCTTACAATAACAAAGGCGGATGCAACACCTTTTTGCCGGGAACCCTCGTAGTGTTACATAGCGTCATATAATAGTAAAGATAAATTTTTAAAAAAAATAATAATAATAATGTGTTGGTCACGCCCGAGAAACCTAAATTTTTTTTTTTTTTTTTTTTTTTTTTTTTTTGACAAGGAAAATATTTTTTTTAATGATCTGAAATAGCCTTGGACTAGGCTAGGGGGCCAAGGCCCAGCCTATTTTTTGTGCATGCTACGCAATGCTAATCCAAAATTGTTGTATTATTTGTGTATTTTATACTGTTTTAAGTAAAAAAAAAAATTGGGGGGGATTTTCCCAAAACGTGACCAACATAAAAAAAAATATTTTTTTTGGCCTAATTATAACTTATTTGTAACTTTAGGGTAGGCCAAATTTATGCAATTTATGACAGTCAAACCACTTTTCGTCACAGTCACAAGTTGAGGGCTAGTCTATATAGACCAACCAATCACAAGATACAGGGATCAAGATGTTACAATTTCCAATTTTAATAGTTGCAATATAAGATATACGGTAGGCATAATTACGATGGATGAAGGTGGGCTCACCAAGATGACGTAAACACATGATACTATCGTATAAGGCACCTAATATGGGACTACCATTTTATGGCAGTTTCAACTACAGTACTAACCTACAAATTACAATCCTAAATATACAACCTGAGATGCGCATATGGCGCCGCAAAAGCTTAATATTGCGGCAGACACTATACTAACCACTGTTCCAAAGTAATGTATAAGACTTCCCATACATAGCGAAAGTGTGAACTGTCCAACGAACACCATACTTTGAACCACGGCCACGTCCGTCCCAATACCTCGTATATGATGACGCGTAACCCCAGATTCCTTGGATTTTTCAAACTGCAGAAATAAAGATAAATTAATGATTATTATACAGTAATTGCACTTCTGCTCAGTAGGACTACAGCATAAGCATACATTAGAAAATACATGACGTTGTATCCAAAGAATATCAAAATATAATGAAAAGCAGCAAAAATATATATTCTTAACAAAATATATTACTAAAAATCTGGTATTGGTTTTTTTTCCTTGTTTTTTGTAGATCGCACTAAAAAGAATGCTATCCTATCCGATCAATAAAGATAAAATAGAATTATAAATTTATATGTTTATAATTCTATGTTATCATTTATAAGCCAAAAATTAAATATTTTATTACCACTCATTTGTTAAACATATGTAATATTTCAATAATCAGCAACTTAAAAACCATCATTTTAATTGGACTTTAAAGTCAGCAGAGCTGTAACAAATATTATATTATTATTAATTACAAATGTCCTACTTATCTGGTAGGATTTATATATAAATTAAAAAAAAAACAACTGAGAATGAAGAATATGGCGGTCGTGTGGTTCTTATTGGCAAGTCCTTAAACTAACACAAACATTACAGATAATGACGGACAAGATAGCTCAAGAGACTTTTCCAAATTTGGTTGTTTTTTGTCCACAGTCATTATGGAACCGCTACCACCAACGATTTAATGTCCAATCTGAAGTACGTAGACATTACCGAATGAACAAGGGAAGAATGGCATTAGAAGGATAGAAGGATAGAAGTAAGACTTCTTTGGATGGAATTAAAACATTAAATTCGGTTGTCTCTCTTCGCAAATTAATGAGAGTTATTTATATTATTGATACTTTTAAGCCTACTGTTTTATGCAGATTTATAGTATGCATTGTGTTAGTGTATTTTGTAGAACTCACCCAACAGATTTTGATAATCTAAAGCTCTATTCAGACTAACAGATTTTTGTCAAAAGAATGTTTATGCCCATATATAGTCATGATGTGCCTATATATGGTCATGATGTGATGTCATCATGACCATATTTAGGCATGTTACATGTGATAGTGTGGACAGGGTCTAACTCACCATATTATTAGAGTGGTAATCAGCAAGTATAATGAATGGCATTGTAAACAAGGTTGAATACATAGCACCCGTCGTAATAGATGCTAGAAAAGTTATCCACTTGGTTCGCAATACAGCCATCCATATCATGCCGAAGGTGTAGAATAATTGATTACAAATATAAACTGGCTTAGCGCCTGGAAAATAAAATATCAGTTCATTATTCAATTGTACTTTTGGTAAGTAAAGGATTAAACGCTTTAATCCTTTACTTCTGGTAAGTAAAGGATTAAACGCTTGGCAACATTTTGAAGAGTCATGACAGCAGATGTAATGTAATGTAGTTAGATTTATATAGCGCTTTATACCGTTATAAAGCGCTCGAGGTGTAGACTAGCTCTTTAACTTGCTTCTCCTCTAAGAGTCTATTTTGCGTCTGAGCTACCCGGTAAACCGTTACCTACTCCCGTATGTCATAAACAGGGATGGTTAATTTGACATTGGCACATACTTACCGAATCTTTTTACTAACTTCACCAGATAGAATGAAAATATAGAGCAAGATAGTGCATCAACAGCCATCGCAAAACTCCCATTACGAACTCCCTCTTCATAAAGATACAGCTCTTCTGATCCCTTTGGCGCTGTTGGCTCACCGCCGTACACTGCTCTTCCAACAAAATCCGTGAAGTAGAGCGAATAGCATAAAAGAGACATCCAACAAAAGAGGTTGGTTAAGCACAGGATTCGAAGGGAATATGGCATATATATGATTGACAGTAAGTAGTCCTTCATACTACCCTGCTCATGTTGAAAATCTGATTCCTCGTCTTTGTGTTCTGTACTTGTTCCATTAAGTGCAGAATAGTCATTGCTCCTCTGTGTGACCGGCTCCTGGTCCTGTGTTCCATACGTTTTCTTTGTATCAAGCGTGGTGAGCTCCATATGCGTACCACTTTGGCTGGTAATTTGACGGGGTTTGCTTCTGATTTCATCTAGCGTTAACTCCTTATCACTTGTTACTGTCAACGCCACCGCGACGATGAACACCACAAGGACTAAAAAGAAAGCGATATGAATTTGATCAAAGAAAACAGAAGCAAATGTCGTCTTCTCCCAAGGAATCCCACATATTAGGTAACCTACAAAACCACCTAGGCCAGCCATTGTTGTAAAACTGCTTAGGCCTTTCTGGTGGTCCTCTTTTGGTATGACATCGATGAGATATGCCCGTGTTGGAGACTGCGCTGCGTCCGCACAAAAGTCAAGCAAAACAACACCAAGCACTGTAACAGCTATCGTGCAAACTTGTCTTACGACATGTGTGTCTGGTGAAGCCGTTGCATTCACAGTGACATCAAATGATGTGATACTGAACGTAGAGTTTTCATTAGACCCGTACAGGTATAATTCTTCGTCGAATGATATCGTAGCAGATACGTTATCCATTTCATCGACATCACATAAGTCTCCAAATTGGTGACCATTAGGAACTAATATCAATCCTATCATGATGCCAGCTGACAAAAGCAAAATAAACGGCCGTCTACGACCAATTTTCGACGAGCATCTATCGCTAGCCGAGCCAAGAATTGGTGTCAGAAAGAACCCTAATGTTGGACTGAGACACCATATAAGGCTCATATAACTTTCGGGGACACCGGCTTTTAAAAGAATCGGGCTTACGAAGGCAGTTTCGGCGGAGTAACAGAACTCAATACCACACACGGCAGCACTGAGTCGCAGTAAGTGAAGTCTCGATGTTCCTTTTCTCCGATTAGAGTCTGTGCCGTTGTTTGTGTCTTGGACAATAGGCTGGGCATCTTCAGTAGCTGAACCTTCTTTGCAATTAAACCACGATTTCAGTCTTTGTATTGCAGCCATTGCTCTGCTGATTCTTGATATGCCTCAAATTTAAGTCAAGTAGAAGACATCTACAATAAAAACAAAATAAGACATGAATAAATGAGTAGCCTATAAGGAAGTGCTGATGCTATGAGCTTCAACATGTTGTGTTTAACAAGTGTGATAATGTACAGCCTTTTCTACAGGCATTATCGACCAGTTTGTCAATGTTACAAACATATTTTATCACTTTATGTATATGTATATATATATATATATATATATATATATATATATATATATATATATATACTTAAAACAAACATATTTTATCACTTTATATACATATACATATATATATATATGTATGTATGTATGTAATTTTTAAAATTAATAAATTCCCGTTCATTTTTATACCAATAAAGGAGTTATTAAAAAATGCCATAATTATGTGAATCATTTTAATGACAAATTAATATGATAAATTAAATAACATATTTACGACTACTTTTAAAAAATAAGCATATTAAGTTCGTATAGTAAAGCATTACTTTCTCTCTTACAGATACAGATATAGATGACTTTATTGTTATAAAAATACAGCGTACACTTAGTCTTAAAACGAAATATTTACAACAAATAAAACATGTATTATGTGTCAATGGTACACATACAAGTAGGCTAACTGTTGTGGGTGTTAGGCCTATGTCGACAATACAGTATGTTTATGACTTATGTTTATTTTTTTAACCTGGTTGCAGCTTTTTAATATACTGTATATTGTGATTTGACGTAATATGATGCTATTTTGGTTTAGGCACTTATTTATTTCTGATGTAGGCTAATGGTCTTTAGATTAATTAAATTTCCCCCTTTTTTCTTTATTGTGGCCTGTGCAATAAATGCAAATAATGTCACTAATCACAGTACATTTTTAAATTAAAACGAATAGTATAGGAAAAGTTATTTTAAAGGCTACGCTTAGACCTGCTGTAAATTATATGAAACCGTTTCTATGTCGATCATTTGAATAATTGAGAAATATCTACACTCATATTTCAAAATATACAGTATATGAATCTCTCGAGATTGTTGTTGATAATTGGCAACGAAAATACTAAAAACAACGTTAAAGTGGTATTTCACAGGTGCACGTCAAAGTTACGCGTACAGTATAATATGCAGACGATCAGCAGACGCGTCTGTAAATAAGACTACGCTGCTATGCGCTACATCACAGCCAATCAGGTAATTCAGAACTGTGTGTGTTTCATTTTCAATGCGTATAAAGATGACTTTAGGCTCGTAATTAATTATGACGTCACTTGAAACAATAATATCCACAGTAGTAAGCCCACTTTAATAGTATTCGTTTCGTCGTGAATTCGTTGCATAGGGCAGTATCATAATGTTCTTGGCTAAATAGACCAGGCTATAACTGAGATAGGTGCCACTTGGAGAGGTAGAAATTCTCATATGGTTTTTCTAGACCAGTTTTTTATGGGGAATCAGAATATGTGAGGTAAAAGGGGTGTAACCTGAGAACTTATACACATCTAGATGTGTATAAGAGACAGGTGATGTCATCATGACCATATTTAGGCATGTCACAAGTTTTTGTCAAATAAAATTAATTGTCTGGAGCTTTAGACATCAATCATTATGTCATCATTTTCATTTCCACATAAACACTAGGGCGGATCCAAAGATGTCCCAAAGGAGGGTCGACTGACAGACAACACTACCCTAGTGGGGTCTGGGGCATTCCCCTGGGAAATCTTTGCTTTGAGGCGTTTTGGCGTATCAATAAATTGTTTTTCTTTCTTTTTTTGTTCTTTTTTTCCTGTCAAAAAGGGTAAATCTGCCCCTGCCTTAGTAAACACCTAATGGAAGCGGCCATTTTGAAAAAGCGCCCTCACGCGAAAGTTCTCAGGTTACGCCCCTTTTACCTCACATATTCTGATTCCCCATAAAAAACTGGTCTAGAAAAACCATATGAGAATTTCTACCTCTCCAAGTTGCACCTATCTCAATTATAGCCTGGTCTAAAATAGCAAACGTGGTTGGGCTCCCTATAATTGACCTTGTAAAAGATCAAACGAACATTACATTCAGATCTTTATGATATCCAAAGTATACATTCTAATCTAAATATAAATGGTACGGCAATGGTTAAGAAAACAGGTAATGGCTCGCTAGTAGAAGTATTCGGGCGAGTGTAACATTATATATTACTACAGCCGCTGCTGCTACTACTAACATTTATTCATTTCTCATAACCAAAACAAATTTGATATAATAGGCTTTTGATAAACTTAAAATTTAGTGTTTAAACAACAGTAATGGAATAAAAGTCACTAAAGTTCAAAATGAAAGGTTCCCACAGAAACAATATTAGCTTGTATAAAGTGGGAACTAAAAATTCAATTATCAAAAAAAAAACCGGAAAAACATTTCTTCTACTACTACGTCTACTACTACTACTGCTACTGCTACTACTGCTACTTCTGCTACTGCTACTGCTACTACTACTACTACTACTGCTACTACTACTACTACTACTGCTGCTGCTGCTGCTACCGTACTGCTGCTACTGCTACTGCTACAGCTACTATTGCTGCTGCTACTGCTATTAATAATAAATCATTATACCGCTAGTATAGACAGTAAAGTCAGTGGTAGATCTTTAGTTGTAGTATCAGCGAAGCATCCGCAATAGTAATAAGCCCGACTACATAATGACAAAATTTAATTAGACAAAGTTTTATGTGTATATGATAAACAGTTTTCACCAAAATGTAGGCCTATAAGAGGTACCGTAAAGCTAAGTATACGAAAACGCTAATATACTACCTTCTGCTTGAGACCAGGCAGCTCCGCAATCACTAAACTTGGAACTATTGACAAGTTTTCGACATCTCTTATATCAATCGGTAAGCGTTAGATATCATGCCGCAAATCAATGCATAAGTCATTACAGGTCCTGTTCTGTATTCACTACATATTTACAACATAATCGGTGTCCGAAAAAGGAGTACAAAGAAGAACACCTGCTGTTTAAAGATCGGAATATCCGGTTTTTCTGTCAAAGAATATTAGCTTTTTCCGTTGAAATAGGTTCGGGTGGTTTCGGCAGATGTACCTTAGCTACCTAACGAGTTTGATGAAAGAGTAACAGTAATTGTATTTTTTGGCATATTATAATCTTGAGAAGTGAGCGCCCTCGTTAAATGCAATTTTCCATCATTATCAATGAAATAATACGCATCGAGGTCACTCCGCACGTTTGAGGGAGTTTTATAGTAAAAGATGTTGATACATTCACTCACATCGACTGATTTTTATAGAGAAGGGAACTGATCGATTTATTCACATTTCATTGGAGTGTCAGGTTGCTGTTAATGGCAGTGAACAACTCAATTGACAACAAATGTAATCATGATTAATTTACAAGCATCTTAATTGCTCATTTAAAGAGTAATTGTATCACGTCCGTGTATTTAAAAATCTCTACGCGAGCTCTGCTTCCTTCGTGTACCCTTTGACTCATTCATAATCAAGTTAATGTTTTTCTTGCTTGTTTTATACATAATAAATAGTACACATTATGCGGGCTTGTTTTACTTTTCCGCCAGATTGTTCTTCACCTTCTAAGTGAGACCTAGTTAATCTACTGTACTACTTGTAGATTCAACGTCATACTAGGACTATTTTAAGCGAGATGCTAATAACATTTCACTGCTGCGTCAATATTTGTATACATATTATCTTAAAACTATTACAACTGTTTCAAAGAGTTGACATTTTACACCGACACAATCTTCAGGAGCACCGACACGTCACGCCATCTTTGATTACAAATGGTAATGAAGTTGAAATAGAAACTAAGTTAATTATTAATGAATGTTGTGTAAGCAACTGTTTACTTCTTCTTATCGAGTCTAAACACAAGTTCATACTCTGTTGAGCTACGTTGGAGGGTATGTTGGTTTATTTTTAAAACTCAAAGATAAGAATTTAGTGTAGTAAGATTGGTAGGAACAGGGTGGAGACGTGAACGCTCCTTTCTTGTTTACGTATGAATCAAGATTAAACCAAAGAAATGATCTTTGACTATCGAAAGGATAAAACACACTGCCAACTGGTTTTAGACGGTATAATGGAATTCAAATAAACTCAAGTACCGTGGTGTTTGGATTGATGTCTGTCTTGGAACACTAAAACTTTTAAACTATCGTCGAAAGCCCACCAACAGCATATAAGAAAACTTTTTTAAAAAATTAGGAAATGATACTCTTTTTATGTTCTACAAACGTGTTATCCAATTAGTGATTTCTTTCTGTGGATTCGCGTGGCATTCAAGCCTTACTAAAAAAGCGACCATAAAATATCTGGAATTAAATTTAAAACCTTAAAAGAAATTATTGAAGCTGCTATGTTAAATAAAATGTATAATATAATCAATGATAATAACCACCCACTTCACAATTACATCAGTTTTAGCAGATTCGGTAGACTTGTTACCTCATTTACAAAAACAATAGACAAAAGGCTCATTCATTCCTAGTGCAATTAAGATGTTGAACGATAGATTGGTTAGACTTTTATATTTTTATTTATTTTTTGCTCTATTTACTTTTTCATATTTTCAGCGTGTTATTCTGTGCGAATGTTGTATAATAATAATATTAGTATTTTTATTTATTGTAGCTGGAAAGCAGATTTCATGTAGGCCTATTGATTCTTTACTGTAAATGACCAATAAAATTAAATTTAACTTGAACCCTTTCAAATCTTTATTAAAACCATATACATTACATCATTCACATAGCGCTATTTCATGAAGATCAGAGCGCTTTTTGCTTTTTTATTTTTACTAATATACTGTGACAATGAAACCCGTCACATATCTGTGCATGTACTTCAATCCCACCCCACTCGAATCCGCCTCATACTCGTGCAATTTTCAAAGAAACAAGTGGCTAGCAACACTATAATTGAAATTGTTGACGAAACTCATAGTGTATTTAGGATAGCCCTAATTTCATTTTTTATACTCATCTGCTAATCAATACAATTTTCTGTATTTTTATATGGACCAATAACATTTCTTGAATCTTGAATTTGAATTAAGGAAATTAATCTCCCTAAATATGACCATGACCATTATCATTAAATCATCAACATCATAATAATTTTCGTTATTTTTCATCATCATTAGTAGTATTAAAATTGACGATTTCTACTCTATGAAAGTACATATGGTCAACGTTCGTTTTATGTTCCGGTCCAGCTGCTCCGGTTTTGGCCGGATCAGTAATTTACAACTTTCGTTTTTAAGCCAAATTCTACTTTCTCTGACGCAATCAAACATAACTTGCACATTCAGCTTAATGAAAATATGGAACATATTTGAAATGATTTCATATTTTACTGTAGTTAAATATCAATAGCTTAGTCCTATTTTTCATGATTTGATTCACCACGTAAATATTATTCCGACCCCGAAATCTAGACTCAGAAATACCGGGATCACGTCCGACAGGGGATTTTATTTTATTTTGTTTTATTCAAACAATATTTAAAGAGGTAGCCATTCCAACTTCCCCGAAGGGAGGCTGATGTCCAGGTGCCCTCTTTAATAAATAAAATACAACATTATACAATGAGGCACCGCATAGATACAAAAATAAATATTATATATATGTATATATATATATATATATATATATATATATAGTTTCTGAGTTTTATTATATATGTATATATAGGCATACTCAGTAACAAATAAATAAAATCAATATATAAAATTAGATAATATTGCTGTTATATTATATATAATAATATATCAATCACTCAAATGGGCATACAAACATGGGTAAGACTCAAACAATGAAAGAATAAATTTATTAAAAGTTATATACAATTTATTATGTACAATTTATTGATTATATAATTTGAATATAAACTCTATAATTTTCCGTCTTTAATATACAATTTATATTTTCGTTTAAAAGAATAGAATAAAATGATTCTGACTTTCGGAAGTCGTCAGGAAGGCTGTTAAATAAGGTAGGGACAGGAAGATAAAATGATCTTTTATAGCATTCAAGTTTTGTCTTAGGTAATAGTTTTACCTTTAGATGACTAGAAGTTGACGGATGTTGTCAAATTACCTATAAAAAAAGATTCTAGATTCAAGAACACTTTATTGTCCATTTTAACATAGGATTTTTTCCCTTTGCAACAATCTTGGTTAAAAAGGATTACATGAAAAATCTCAAGACAAGCAACTTGGCAATGACGAGAAATACGTTAATATATTACATGTTAAAATAGTAATGTAGTAAAAAGTCAACATAAAAATCACTTTAAAATTTAATATGTGTACCTCAGAACATTATGGAATTCCCCTATGGGGCTTGAGTGTGTGTTCCATATGTGCTTGATCCAGTGATCCGGGGGTAATAATGTTCAAGCGCTTCGATGTTGTGTCAACGGGAGGCGCTATATAAATGCAGAATTATTATTATATTATTATTAGAACCATAATAATAATAATAATAATAATAATAATAATAATAATAGTGTAGTTTTATATAGCGCACATATCCATCTAATATAAGATGCTCAGGGCGCTTGAAATTTTGCTATAAAATGATGACAGTATGCTAATTAAATAAAACAAGTACACGGGGTATAGTATGCTTATTCCTCCATGCATAAATAAAGTGCAAGAAACACGAACATAATTATATTATATAATGCAATATGAATAACAAGGAATGTGCGCCAATTATATTTATACGAGTTTACGGATAGTGTAAAATACATATACAAAGATGTGGCCTAATTAAAGCAAACATGTGTTATGGATAAACGGGGTACAATATGCTATGCATTATTTAGTAAACCTTTTTTTTTAATTTAAAAATGTCTTTTGAATTAGGCCAGGGGAATACGTTAGATTTTCAAATAACAGAGTGCTGGTATATTATTTAGTATTATTATCTAGTGAACTTTTGGTTTATTAATGGCAAGAGGACCATGTATGTAGGTATTCCCATCATATGGACAGGTATACCAGGTGATAAATACTCAATTGAGCAATAAGATTCAGGGGAATCTACTTTGTGTGAAGGGTAAATATTAGAATAAGGTAATGTACATTTCTACAGGGGTTCAACTCAGCCCCTACAACAGTCCCGGTCGGGGTGGTAGGACAAACGCCAGGGAAAATCAACAATTTTAATTAGATTCTTATTAACTGATAGATATACTTATACTTATCAATTAAACTGATCGATATCCACTTTTTGTCATAAAAAATCCCTGACATGGCCCAGGCTGAGCTATGACCCGGGTTCGAGACGAACACGTGTCAGACTGAGCAGGCCATGGTAATATGTTTTACACATAGTTTAAAAGATCATTTTTAAAATATCATTTTTAATATTAAGCAACGTTAAACTACTATTAGTACTTGTATGTACGTTATTATGAAATCCCATGACAAATATAAATGATAAAGCACGAATGGTTAATTGATATATTTAGTACAAGTATGAATGACTGATATAATAGAATAGTGCGTGTTTTGAGCTGTACAACGACAGAACTATATAAAAAAAAGAAGTCATATTAATGCAATGATGATTATGTACATTTTGGCCGGACCAATAAAAATAGCTTCCAACGCGCCTGTTTAAACAGTCCGCAAATTTAGAATCTTAGAACTTTCCTATTTTCTAAAGCTTTTTAGTGTTTATTTTATACTTGGCGCCTTTGATCATTTTTGAATTGGCACGGTAAAATTTTCTGATTTATTAATTTTTATTATTATTATCCCAGCGGAGATCTTGGAAATCCTCATCTTGAAGGATGCATTATCATGAGTCCGTATGTTCGTTATAGTTGTCTACAGGGGCGGCGCATGATTTGCTCCAAGGGTGGGGGAGGGGGGACTATGTCCCCGACGGGGCCGACTCCCAACGAGAACGTAAGTGGGCGTGGTAGGGCGTCGCACAAAATCCCTAGGAAGTGATCCAGGAGTCGTAGACCCTGGAAACTATGACAATTTAGGGGTTTCAAAGGTTTATTTAAACGATTTTAGAGTCTACTAATATGTACAAAATGCTTATTGGATTGGATTTATTTGGTGTAAACACCAAGGATAGCCACGAAAGTCTAGAAGAAGACTTATTTCCAGTGGGGTCCTTCTGGTGGTGATTGGGCAGCACACCGAGAGACAATCCCCTACTCTTTTCCGAAGAGTGTA